CATTTTATTGACACTAATTAATGAACTCATCTGTCTATTCGGGGCTAGCCTTAAGCATTGGTCATTAAGGCTGCCGCTCGGGACCCCAAATAAATAGTAATATCTGGGACCTCCGAATTTTTTTTTAAAGATTCAATTAAAATAGTTTTAGCGTCTTCGATTTTAACTAGTCTCATAATTTTAGGTATAATCTATGAATCATAAAAAATTGACACGACATTAATGAGTTTGAATTTAATCTTAGTAGATTTTGACGAAAAATTGATGAAATTATTTGGTCCCTCAAATTAGTAGGTAGATATAATTCAAACGAAATGCGATACAAACTCGTGAAACTATACAGGATTATAAGTAGTTTTACTTCTTTTTTTTCTTTTTATTCTTACTTATGTTTATCTAAATGCTGAAAAAATGAGTTATCTCCTCACGTTGTACTTTTGATATTACAATCAAAGTCAATTGATTGATTAATTATTTATTATCTAAATTTTATAAATTATAATTTTTTCTTAACTTAAATTCCAGACTTTTTTTATCTAGATCTATTTTTTGCTCAGTTATTTTTTTAAATACACAAGAAACACATACAAAATAACTAAAAAACATATTGAGTTTGACCAGTTTACTATTTAAAATTTTTACTAGCATTCGTTTTTATTAAAAAATAATAATTTTCAATTGATAGTAGATTTAAAACTAAAGCTTGAATGCAAAACTAGTATTTTTACATCTCAAATACAAGATTTTGTTTTAATGAACATATATTAATATTTTAATATTTATTTTATTAAATCTATATTATGATATTGTATAGCACTAGGGCCTCACCGGATATTTTTGCCTATTGATTCGGAGTTGGGCCGCTCGTGGGTCTGTTTTGTAGGAATAAGACACTAATGCCTTCACGAAAACCGTATTGTTTGCGTACAAGTTTTCTAGTGAAAGATGTTTGAATTTTCTCTACACAGTGTCCGACAAATCAAAGAGCTATCATGAATTTTGGTTGATTTCATACCAAATATTACAGCAAAATCTTCCACAATTCAAGACACAGAACAAAACTAAGAATTGAGCAAAGTGAAATTTGTTTGAATGGTTTAGAAACTATCCGTGCCTAGATGCAACTGGGGTCGAGTCGCACTTGCTACACATCGCCTCATTTACCCTTATCCCTCATGAATTTGTTAGATTGCATCAAAACAAAATCAAGAATGTACATATAACCTTGTCTGAAATTCTAAATATGAATCGATCATCACCATAATAAAAAATAAATAAATAAGGAGTTGGTCGTCGACGTGGAGATTTTTCTCATATCAAATAGTTGCAGAAATCCAATTTAAAAAATTTTAAAGATATCCAATCACCAAATTATGTGAATGAATTCGGCTCAACAAGTACAATTGCAAGTTGTGAGAGATCTAAGATGATAAAATCATTCTCATGGGTCTAAGAAAGCTTTGAAAAATTTTAACAAAGTCAAGGAAGCTTAAACTCGTTATAAGAACAACTCGAACAAGACTATCTAAAATAACTACTTAAAATATATTTAAATATTATATTATTTACTTTAATTAACCACTTTTTTAAATTCACTTCAATCACGCTATCTAGTTTAACTAATCACTTCAACTAATTTTAACTAACTTTCAATAATAATATTTAAAAAATAACAATTTAACTATACATTGTATAAATTTAATGCTACAAGAGTAAATATCATGAAAGAATAGCTCATCATATGTACTTAACAAATCAATGATATACCCCCTTTTTTGCTCTTCAAAATCACCTGTCACCGCCTCTTCCAACACCACCTTGCCACCACCTCTTCCTCACCGCCACGGCCACCGCCCACCCCCTTTTTTGGAAATCAAAATCGAACCCAAACATCACAACAAACGCACACAACACACATCATCTTTGGTTCTGTATTTGTGGCTATTCGTAATTGATTGATTCTAAAAAAAAACGGAGAATCCAAAATCAGGTGAGCCACAATCGATTTTTAATCTTCCTGAAAATCCCAAATCAAGATCAATAGAAGATCCCCAAATCACTTACAAAAAATAGAATCCACCTCCAAAATCGTCAACCGAACCCAAATATTTCAATTTGTGATCAAATTTTTATCTTCTCAACCCAAAGATCCTAAGTTAAGACGATGAAGTTTTTGTGAGAGAGAGAGAGAGAGCAGCATACCTGCGATGATGAAGACGATGGAACTTCTGTGGACTGATCGAAGACGATGTCTTTTGCGGACTGATCTGCTGTGATGAAGACAATGCCTTCTGTGGACTGAGCTTGGCGCAAATTCAGCGATTTGGGAACTTCTGTTGAGGAATAGCTAGCCTTGGAGGTCCCACATCCAACGAGTCAATATTGGATTATGGGTAATATCGAGTGAGATACATAACACGTTGGAGCCAAAATTTACGAGCTGACTATCTTAAAATAACTAACATACCTCCTTTACATCGCCCCCTTAGAGTTGCTCTAATTAGGCCTAGAAAAGTGCTTTCAAACTCCTCGGTAACACTCGTCTAAAAAAGTCATTATCCAGTTTAATTCTCGTTGGTCCAGAATATTGGAAGGAGTGTATTGAGTTTACCTGAATACACTGATATATGACTTTGACACTGTTACCAAAAAAAAAAAAGTGAATGCTCTTACATTTAGACGCATAACCTCAAGATTGTCTGTCCGACTAAAACACTAAACATTAAACTCGTGCTTTATTTCATATGTGCATAGTTATATGTTAATCGAGTGTTATGAGTTGTACCTAGGAAGCCTGGCTGAACCAATCTATGCGCTACTGATGTTGGATCTAACAAAGGCTCTATATGTTAAAAACACTATATGTGTGGCCGAGCCCAAGTCTCATTGAATATTAACAAATTAGAGAATAAAGTTGCATGGATTAATTTAACTTGATAAGTCATATATATTATAGGGTTAATAGTAAATTATACTTTGAAATATCTCTCAAATTTTAATTTTCATCCTTAAAGATAAAAAATCTTAATTTACACTCTTAAAGATATGAATATGTATCAATGTGTACTTGGAGCTAACAGTCGTCATTTACCGTCTAAAATTAAATAGATAAATTACTCCTAGATCCTTTTAGATTTGTCACTTAATTATTAGACCTCTTCACATTTAGAATATTATGCCTGCACCCCCTGACATTTGTGCACTTACAACACACAACCCCCTATTATTAATATCTTTTAATGTAATCGTTCAAAAACAGGATGTCATCATATATAAACAACTATAATTTATGTACTACCGTTAATTTTGTGAGTCTGTTATACTTTAAAGTTCAAAATTAAACTTACCTTTTGATTGTCCAATACATGTCAGATATTATATAATGTTTAAGAGTATTGATATGATATAATATTCTTCATATCCAATAAATACATCATTTGAACATAATTATTTGGTTATCCAATTGGGGGAACACTTTTAGTCATATTTGGATTCTTACGGGGTGTAGTTGTAATATTTCAAATGTGAAAGGGTACAAGTGATTAATTGACAAATATGGGAGAGTTTAAGTATAATTTATCTATTTAGTTTTAGATGACAAATTGAACGACAGTTAGCTTCAGGTGCACATCAATACAGATTAATATCTTTGAAGGTACAAATTAAAATATTTGATTTTTAAAAGTGTAAATTCAGATTCAAAAAATCTTTTGAAATACAATTTGTGATTAACCCTATATTATATTGCTATACTTTAGTATCCATGCCAAACCTTTGATTTGCCATCACACTTGTAGCCGTTCAACGTTTATTACTTGGTGGCCAAGAACTTGAAGATGGCGAAATGACAGTCAGACTGCATGTGCTGTGGAGTTGGATCTAGCTAAGTTTCTTCTTACTTACCTGTTAAACAACAAAACAAAACAAAACAATACAGAATAAAATTGAAGGGATTATTTTAAGTTGAGAAGTCATATATAATATTAGAAAGAATGGTATCTAACAATGTTCTACTATTATTTTAGATGTGATTAACCTTAACCTTTCTTTAATACTTGTTCCTCCCTCTCCATGTGTCTGCTTCACAACCGGGCATGTGTGTTCGACTGCTCTTTTAAACTTTATATATCAACTCACCCACAGAACCACCCTCCAGACTCCACAGGCTTCAACAGTATTGGCCGATGTCATGCCGCAATGCTGATCATATGAGTTTAAATTTTTCATGATTTTCAACTTTTTCTTTTAATGTAGTATCGCCCTTATATTGTTTCATAATACTATGATTCATGTGTCTCGGATCGTTCTGAGTTGATATCAATATCAAAACCTTGACCCAAAGTGCCACTATTTATGTTTATTAATTAAAAAGGGAAGAAAAATATGTTATAATCATTTTATCAATGTCATTGTCTAAATTTGGCATACAAATCACTTACCAAACGTGGCTATCTTAAAAGTTGGGAGAATAAAGTTGGGTCTGTCATTAATTTTAAGTATTTTAAATTAAAGATTAAAATTTAATTTTAATTACTTAGAAACATAATTTTTTTGGAAATAAAATTAAAATACACAAAAATTTGAGAATTTCTTTCTAAAATATTTCAAAACAATGATTGAAATATCTTAAAACATCTTGAAATATTATAAAATATTAATAGCAAAAAATTTCAAAACATTAAAATTTTAATTCAATTACTAATTTAATTCAATTTGATTGAAAGTAAAAATATTTCGGCTGTTCCGACGGTTTCGAAGTAAGGAACTTCTAGACAGCGAGTACCAATAAATTCCCAGTCGACCGCGTAAAGTAACGCCCTTTCATCTTTAGTTTGGCTCCAAATGGGACTTAGCGACTGTGGGCCCACAGCCCACACAGCAATCTCTTGTCATCGTGTGTGCTTTTGCATGAAAACACCCCACCCAAGTGTCTGTCTGTCTCTCTCTCTCTCTCTCTCTGATTCGCCTCCTCGTCGGAAAATTTATCTCTTTTTGCTCTCCAAAAGTCTATCTTTCTCTCTCTACAAAGCAATTTTACATATGAAATGGATCTTCTCGGAAATCCATGGTTAACGTACAGTACCAATTGACTTAGACTCTGAGAGGTACACAAAGACCCGGAAACTATGCTCACTGGTTTTAGCAATCTTGATGTTCACCCTTTTTATTTTTGTTCTTCGAATTATCATTTTTTTGGCTGTAGCAGTTGAATTTGATTGGATTCGATCCATCTGGGTTTAATTGTTGTTTAAGTGTTCTGTTAGTTTAATTAGTGAATCTGACGTATGTATGTCGATTCAATTATGAGTTTGAGTAGTTTTCTGTTGGTGCTGCTGAGAGTTCTGAGTAGTTTTAGACAGTTTCAAGCTTTAATTGGAGGTGAATTCTATGGGATTTTGGTTTAGATTTCTGGAAGTTTGATCCTTCAAACTGGGTTAATTTTTTTAATGAGGTATTTTTTTTTTGTTTCTGTTTCTGATTCTTACTCTGTTTCTTTTGCTTGGTTAATGAAAGCAATCCAGAAGCTGAAAAACTTAATGGCATGTGCATGTTGTGTTTGGTGGTATTTGGTTTGTGTTAAGGAATTAGATATAGTTCTATTGATTATCTTGTATGCCATGATGATTATTCACAGAGATTCCCCCTTTTGGGTTTCTTTTCTTTTGAAAAAGTTTTCAATTTGATGCTATGTCTGAGTTTGTTCTCTCTTTGGTATTGGTTTTAATAGCTTTTGGTTCTAAATTAAGGCTGTCCGAACATGCGTGTCATTATATTCGACGTGTTTGTATTCATGGATGAATGACTTGGTGTGTTTTTCAAACTTGAGAATTAAATTTAAAATTAATCTTCAAAATCAATATTTTCAGTTTTGATCCCAATATAGCCCTTTGTTGTTTTGTATTTGTGATTATAGTTTAGATATTGGTTCTGTTCATGGGCTACCTGACTCTGCTTTCTCTTGCCTGATCAGCTTAAAAGGCAGTTCCAATGCTATCCACAAGCTCAGTAGTTAATGGTTTCCACTAAATTCTTGCCTTTATTTTTGCTTCATGGTTTTCATTGTCGTAATCTTGTTTGCTTATTTACGTTTTGACTAAAAATATGGTTTTTATATGTTTTTTCATTCTGTATCTTATATAAATAACAGTATAGAATTTCCACTTCATTGTTGTAGTCGTGCATTCTGTGATTTGGGAAATAGAGTAGCCGAATTGTGTCATGTGATGGTATTTATTGGATCCAACTGCTTTTAGAATGACCTCTGCTTATTCATTCATAAATGCATGAGCTAGCTGGTAGTTTATTTGTGCCTAACAAGTTTTACTGCATTGTTTTGAACTATCTGTTCAATTTATAAAATGTGGGTTCCAATCTTTTGCTTATGCCTTTTGTTCTTTCTAACATTAACTTTCAGGAAGAAGCATTTGTTGGATTTCTGAAATCAAAGCCAAGTTTGGTTACTTATTCAATGGGGGCCTCAAGCTCTAGAATAGAAGAAGATAAGGCTCTGCAGCTCTGTCGTGAAAGAAAGAAGTTTGTTAGACAAGCACTTGATGGCAGGTGCTCACTAGCAGCCACTCATGTTGCATATGTAGAGTTACTGAAGATCACGGGAACTGCTTTAAGGAAGTTTATTGAACCTGAAGCTCCAATTGAATCTTCCTTGTATACTTCCACTAGTGCAACACCGGAGCCACGGGCATTAACTGAGAAGTCCATTTCCCAGTTTTCATTCTCTTCTCCAACTCTGTCGCAACCTGTGGAAGCAACTGATAACTTTTCTCCATCTCTTTCTCCTCCACCCTCTAGTCAGCATCAGGTCAATCATATGATATTTAGAGGTACTTTTTCAAGAAAAGTTGAAGAGAAAGTTTCTGTGCCAGTTGTAGGGTCAGTAACTTCAAGCACCCCTCCAGACACCACACCTCGTTCCACTGAAAGACCTGAATCATCCTCATTTGAAACTCCTATCCCACCTGGGACTCCACCTTGGGACTATTTTGGTCTTTTTCCATCACCAGAAGGAAGAGGATTTAATGAAGGTTTGGAGAATGCTGATGACATAAGACGGCTTAGGGAAGAGGAGGGAATTCCTGAATTAGAAGATGAAGAGAAGGCTTCTCTTGGAAGGGAAGAGTCGCAGGAATCCGAAGATGGATTTGATGAACCTTCTACACCTACGCTAGTCCGAAGTTTTGAAAATGTTAACAGGACAACAGATCATGTTGCTGCTGGATTTTCATCCGCTTTACCCTCTGCAGAAAGTGTAGCATCAGAAACTGAGTTTCTGAATGGGGAGAGAACCAACTCTCCTGATTTATCACCATTAAGAGCCACATCCTCAGGTGTTGCACTTCCCGCTGATGTAAAGACAAGACTGGTAAAAGAGGATGTTAGTAGAAATAAGGTTGCCCCTAAGGACTTCTTTTCAAGCATGAAGGATATTGAATATCTCTTTGTTAAAGCATCTGAGTCTGGAAGAGAAGTTCCAAGGATGCTTGAAGCAAATAAGTTCCATTTTCGTCCAATTTTTCCTGGAAAAGAAGGTTTTCTATCTCTCTCTCCCTCTCTCTCTCTGTCAAACTTTCTGTTCAAATGACCTTGTCATTTTAGATTGTGCTCTTTGTGCTTTAATTAACTTTAACAGGCATACAGATGTTTTAATAGTAGAGTTTCTCAACGAGGTCCGCCATGATATCATGTCCACATTTTAAAGTTTATTTTTTTGATTATTTAATTTACATGGCTGATAGGCTACTCCTGTGATTGTTTTGGTATAAAGACATCTGACTGAAACTTAAAAGTTGCTGTTTTCAATTGAAGAAAGCGAAACAACATTGTTTATCAACTTTAGAAGTTATTTCAGTTACCTTATTCCTATATAAGCTGTGAAAGCCCTTAATGAGAGTATATTTTTGTTGTAGGTGGCTCAATGGCTTCAACCTTATTGAAAAGCTGTTTCTCTTGTGGGGATGACCCCAGCCAAGTTCAGGAAGGTTGGCTCTCCATCTTAATATGTGTTAATTACATTACAAAGTTGTGCTCCAACTCATCACGAAGCTTGGTGGTAATGTTGTGCATTATCAAAATAGCAAGCTGCTTGATGTAACATGTAAAGGTGCATCTATTTGTTTTGCAGATGTATAATTACTTTGTCCGGTGTCCCACCCACATAAGTTTCAAGAAAATCAATCTGCAGAAGACTATGTGATGCAGTTGGATCATAGCAAGTAGGATTTGAATAGATTAGAAGGAAATAGGGCTTCAAGATTATAAGGGAAGGATTAGTGTGAGGGAAGGGTGTCGGGGCTAATGAGTAGTTGTGGTTGCACTGTTGAAGTAAAGGCTTGGGGCTTACCAAAGTAGATGATTTGGGCCAGAGAACAGTTGGTTCAAGGTCTAATGGGGTCCCGGCTGTCCACTTCTGGAGTTAGGACTCTTGACCCATAGACTTGGACCATGAGACTGATCAAATCTGAGAGAAAATAAACAAATAAGCCCACAACCCAAAAAATCAGTGTATGGTCCCAACTTCAAAAAAATGAAACACCCCTAACATATAAACTTAATGAAATTGTATTCTAGCCTAAGTCAAGTAACAAAACTTCGTTTAAAAAACAATATGTAGGAAAATTGCTTTACATATCAGCTTCTTTGTGCTTTTTTTCCATGGAATCGACCCACTCTGCTTTGCAATATTACATGGCGTTATCTATAATGCTTCAACGTGCTTCAAATTATGTAAAAGTTGCGGAATTGCTTTTCTTCTTGCACTGATACAGCTCAGGTTTTTTCAACCTTCAGGTTGATCAAGATCATGGTTGTTAATGAATTGAACTGGTCATAAACATTTCATGCTCAACTTGTCAAAATGTTCTTTAACACTCAGTCACTCATTCACCAGTTCGATTAATCAGGTTAAAACTTGTATGTTTTTTTATGGGTGACTAAGCTTTTGTTATGCCAAGTTTGACAACATCTGGTGTAGTGGCCATCTAGTTGTGGATAGGGTCCCTGGAAACTGACATCAAGAAAGTACACAGGAGGTGCTGGTTCATTCATTGTTGACGAAGCATATGTAGCCCGTGATTGGGGTTAAAATACATTTCGAAGCTATTGCATTAGGCATGTAAAGATATTAGGTCTCAGCATAAATTTTATTTAATTAAACTCTACTTAACAAAAGCTCAAATGTCTCTTGATTTTTTTGGAAGTTTATCCATGGCTACAGTGAATTCCAATTCACTAGAGCTACATGCCAATAATTTAATTATAGTGAACGATACCATGTTCTTCCATTGCATTCACGAGTGCAATTGATTTATCTTAGAAGTCAAAACAGGTCAGGTGGAAGTCCTTCTCCTTTCTTTAAACCTTTTTTGAACAATTGCTAAAGTGGCAGCTTCTTATTCATTAAAGAAGCTGAAATTCTGATGATGTTTATTGATGTTTCCGAATATTAATACCTGAACTTCTGATGATTTTGATTGATGTCCTATATTTGCTCCTAATCTAGCATGATTGGAACAGATTTGAGTATCACTTCTATATTAACGATGAGAGGAAACCACTTTCTGCTCAGGCATTACTATAATCAACCTCGAGGATCCAACTCAATTCTTTAATTGATGTATGACTTGTTGCATACAGTTATCACTTGTCAGAGTATTTTTCTCCATGGACGTGACAAGTTCTAATCCTTATAATCATACTAAAAATAACTTAAGCTTATTTCAACAACATGGAGAATAACAGAAGAGGAAGAAAAGTAGGAATCACTCCCAGTTGCACTTGGGCATCACACCTAGGGTTAGTTTGCATCACACAAACCCAAAAGTGGCTTTGAAAATTTCTCTAAAACTGATCTCTATTTGTTCCGTAAAAGTACATGTGTATATGTAGCCTCCAAGAGATTTCCTACTCCAATGACTCAAAGTTATAGTTAAAAGTCTAGCTTGTCTAAATCAACTAAACCAACAAATGTGACCTAAAAACATGACAAGCAAACCCTTTTGTAGGAAATTCTGAAAACCACCAAAATTGCCTGACTACTAAACATTATAACCAAAAGAATCAAGCTCAATCAAACCATCAAATATGATTTAAAAATACTCAACTTAATTATGCAAGTCAACACATGCGTAATCAAGGTTTGGGCCCATGCCTTGTGATCCTTTGTAGAATGCTGCCACTTATTTTAATCAACATATGTATCAGATTGAGTTGAATTCGCATAATGTCATCAAATACACATTTTGGTTTTGAGCATGGGTCACTAGTAATCATCACATGCCTTCAAAAATGGGCGCATAACGCTTTGAAAAACCCCACCTCCATTCATTCAATCGATTACTTGTATGTGTTTGTTCATGGACGGTTGGCTGTGTATGTACTGATTGTATTACTTATTTGATGTCAATAATTTTTTTCCTATTCCATACAATCTTGGTAAACTCCCTTTGATTGGCAGCATTTGCAATCTCCACCCCTTCACCCTTTTTCTCTTGATATGTCGATTCTTGCATCTAGCACATTTCAAAGTTTTCCAGTGACCATATTTCCATTTTCATCTTTTTAATTTAATTGTCAGAGTTAGCATATTTTGCAAAGTAGTTGAGCAAAACCAACTCGCTTGGACTGCTTTATTTGCCCTCACCGCCTTCCATGTCACAACAATGCTTTTGCAGGGTGTCACAAAATATGCACACAACCTATATACTCTGCGATTGTTTTCCTTTTTAATTCGTTGGCAATGTAGATAAATATCACTGCTGAGCACTTTGTGTTTCATAGAAGATAACTACCTAGATGCTTAATAGCCCTGAATAATTCTTATAAGGACAGGGCATTAAGGCACTGCTCTTGCTACTGAATAATCGACTGAGGTTTCTTATATGGGCAATCATAGGGCTAAGTATTCTGTGGCTGCAAATGTCTACTCCAATCTAGGGGCTTTTGAATTTCCTTTTTGCTCCTTTATTTTTCTATTATTATCCCACCCTTCCATCTTTTAGTTCCTATATATTAGATTCCATGCATTCCTCCGTCAATGTCCCAATTATGGATGAACTTGTGGGACGTCATTTTAACTGGTGTTCCGTTTTTTCATTGCTTTTGACTAAAGTGTCCTTACAAGTACCTAATATTGAGGACAATGTAGTCATTTGATCTGTTATCCTACCTGTGGAATTTCTTGCAATTTTTAACTGACCCTCCTGATGGGTTCCATTTAACCCATTTATACCCGCTACAGTCCACCGTTCCCTTTGGACAAGGGATAAGCCCAAGTGGGATATCCTATCACTACTCTTGCTTCCCAAATATTGGATAAGTGGGCCCCTCACCTTTTGTTTCCAATCCAGCACAATAATGCCATTTTTTCCCACTATATAAACACGCCTTAAAAGGATCTTTAGAATTTCCCATCGGACTGTGTAACCATTAATAACTAATCAATACGAGAAACTTAGAGACCCTTAGAATTTCAATCAAAAAGTGAAAGAAAAAAAAATTTGTGGCACAAGCACAAATGAAGCATTTCAACAAGGAATACTTGACACCACTGGTTTTACTTTTGATATTAGTAATGAAGAGATTCATTCAACAACCTAATGGTGGGCTTCTTTAATAATATATCTTAATTCATTCTAATAGATGTCTTATGGGAGATAATCATGAATAAAATGTGACAGTCTGTTTTCATTTTATAAGTTTTTAGGACAAATGTACCTGCACACTCATAGAGACACACAGCTGCAAACAAAAAAGTGCATATATCTAGAAAATGTTCTGTCTTGATACATCCTAGGTAGATATTAAGTCAGATACTTTTGACACTGTTATATGGTGCAAATCTTCTGTTGCTGAGTGCATCTATTCCTTTCTAGACTAATTTACATTGGCTCACTTTTTCTACTGTTATACAAGAGTTTGCTCATTGTATCCTTTGTTTTTGCTGCTTAGAGCCTCCCCAAACTTCCGTAAAGTATTTAACTTGGCATCGGACCACGTCATCTCGCTCCTCTTCATCCAGAAATCCACTCGGTGCAAACTCTAAAGATGATATTGAGGGCCTTTCCAGTAATATCTTTGATAATTTCTGTATGATCTCTGGTAGTCATGCCTCAACATTGGATAGGCTATATGCATGGGAGAAGAAGCTGTATGATGAAGTCAAGGTATTGCCATTTTAGTTTAGTTATGGTGGTCTTTCTTTAAACGTCTAAGATTTTCTGATATGTTTGCTCGAAAGTTTATAAAACATAGTCTGCTTCACTAAGTTCTGGTTGAAGGAATGGATCACATATTTTGTTGAGTTCTTATACATCTAAATCCTGTCTGATCTCATTGTTTAGGCCTGAAGCTCTGAGTAACTTAGCATGCTTTTAAACAGCTAGAGAAGCCCTTCACAGTTGAAATCTAATATTAATGAGTCTAGTCGAAACAGTTCCATAAGATACTTTGTCCACTGGGATGCCATAATAATGAGCATGCTTTTATCTGAATGGTTATTCAAATGCATGATATCCAATTTTCTCAAATGCCTGTTATCCATGCCCCCCCCCCCCCCCCCCTCTTGCCCAACACACACACACACACACAAGAAAAACCCATTGTCAAGGAAAAAGTTTGTTGTCTTTTGTTTGTTGAAGATTGTTAGTGCACCATAATCAGGCCTGGTCTACTGAGAGTAATGCTATTGAAGCGAAGTTAGAATTTTGAGAGAAGCATAACCGAGGAGTGGTATTGAAAGGGAGAATGGTTTGTGAGTGAAAGATGACAACTGGCAGTAATAAGGATATAATGCTGAGTCAAACAATTCTTAGAGATTCACCATCTGTTCATGTGCGCAGTCACAGAATTTTCCAATATGACGTGTCTAACTTTTCACGGCCCTCATCTCTGGAGCAAATATATCCCTTACATGTGTTGCTTCACAGCTGCAATTTATTATGTGTTATGTATTCTCATTCCTGAATGTTTGAGGTGTTTTATTTGGAACTGAATACTAGACATGACAGTTGATGAACCCTAAACCCACGGGGTTAACCATTTTATGATGATATGAATGGTAAGTGAAACCGTTGTTTTGGGCAGCAATCTATATTTCCAAGTCAAAGTGTTGTTTAGCTCAAACTGGGTAACTCTATGACGTCTGCCTAGGATTCTTGGGCTGTTTTCCATGTTGAATTGATTCAGTACATGTCTTGGGATTTGGGCATTAGATGATGTAATCAAGGTGGTAGTGGGGTGATGGAGTTCTGGGGATCGGATGGTGCAGGATGAAGCTGTGGATAATTTTTCTGTGGCCAGAATAAAATTTGGCTAACAATAACATGTGGGGTTCAAAGGAAAATCTTTTGATTAGTACTACTACAAATTACAAAAGCATATTCTATTGGAGGAGGTTGTGGGGGGTATGGGGGACTATCTAATGCTTCTCCCTGTCTCCATTCTGTGTTTGGCTTCTTCCTTTACGCAAAAGTGAGTCTTCGTCCTGTCTGTTCTCTTGCATTGTGATTAAAGACCAAAAGTTTGGTATCTCTGTTAGTTTTTGTGTAGAAGGTAATTTTTGTGCTATGTTCCTTCTCTTGCCACTTGGAGAAACAATAGTCGTCCTAGTAAAGATGTATTTGTATAAAGCTTCCAACACCGTCTGGGGGCCATAAATCTATCCTGTGCATAGTCCAGGTGTCCACCTAGTCACCAATACCATAAACTAAAGACTACTTTTGCATCTTATTTTGCGAATTGGTGGCCCCCACATAACCTCCCTTAGGTCACATCGGTGGCCCTGGGTTGATTGCTGGTGTTCTTTAGGTCTTTTATTTTGTTTTGCATGCTAGTGGGTGAGTTTTTTTTTTTTGGGGGGGGAGAGGATATATGGTTGTAATGCCACAGCTAAATTGTTTGCCAACCGGGTCATATTTCTCAATATTATATAGCTGAACCTTTCAGAATTTCTCTCAAAAATGGTCCCTCTTTGGGGTCTATTCAAAAGCCAATCAAACGATAAATGTGAGCATTCAGTGGCTTTGATCATAATAGTTTCACACTTTCACTATTTAGTAAATGGAAATTGTTGAACGTTGTTCTTGTTTCTGCCTCTTTGAAGATTGTCTGTAACATTGTGTGCATCAAAACCTAGATTAACGATAATTTTTACAGGATGCTACTTTCTGAACACCCCTTTTGAGGTAAAGGCTATATCTCATCCGTGAAAGGTTATCTTGTTTTCTGTTCATATTAGATCTGGATTGAAAATAAAATGTTGCCCTTCAACTTTGGTGTATACCCCATCTAGCAGCAATAATGTTTCCTGGGCTAGTGCTTTAAGTTAAGAAGTTGTTAGAATGTTTTTAAATATACTGCTAAGGTGGGGTCTATTAACTTCGAAAATATATTGTCTTAGGAGTTCAATTAATTTCTTATGTTTTCTTATTTCTATGACTAAGAATTTTAATCTATACCTGATTCTGAATTTCAATCTTCTTGTAACTTACTTTTTAAAGCTTATCACATCATGCTTCAGCTGGCATATTGGTACCATACATGGTTATTTTGAATGGGATGCAATAATTTGAGACTTGATCCTCTGTTGTCGAGTAGTCAAGAAACTTTAAGATGTCACAATATATTGTGGAACTACTCTGATTCTCAAAGGTAATGCCTAAAAGAAGTTTGTTGATATCAGGCTAGTAAGATGGTTAGGGGGGAGTATGATCGGAGGTGTAAACTTCTTAGACAACAAGAATCAAATGGAGAAAGTATCAAGAAGACTGATAAAACACGTGCTGTTGTCAAGGATCTGCACTCAAGAATCAGAGTTGCAATTCACAGAATTGACACGATATCGAAGAAGATCGAGGAATTAAGAGACAAAGAGCTTCAGCCACAACTGGAGGAGTTGATTGGAGGGTATGTGCTTTGAAGTTCCTCTCTGACGAATCAGTCAGAAATTTTATTTAGATAAATTTGATATGGTTGCTCACAATATTGAATCTTATGGAGAACACACAGTATCTTTCTGATATCGTTGGTCACATTACTAAAATATTGATATAGAACACTCAATAGTTTTTCATCTCTGACATAGATACAAGCTTACATGACTCACCACCCTCAGTCTTTATCTGATGTTAATGAACTTGAAGTATAACATGTGCATATGATATGAGAAATAATTTTGGTTAATCCTTTGACAGGGGTTGAGGAGAGTTATCAAGTTGAAATACTGGTTTAGCTTCTGTGCTACTACACTGGTTGTTATTAGATCCAATTAAAAGGTGGATAATTTACTTACCGAAAATCGTAGTTGGAAAGTTACCCATGCTGATCATTGTTCTTTACATCGGACATATTAATTTGAGTAAAAATCAGCCTGAAATGCAGCTTAGCTAGTCAAGGAAGTCCTGCATGAAAGGTTCAAGAAAATGCGGAGTCTCGGAATTAGGGTTGAATTAGGCTAAATATATTTTCTTAGTTTCATGTTTTCAATTTTGTGCTTGTTCGCCTTTTATTTGTTCTCATTTTCATTTGGATTGCCTCCATCTATATGTGTTCTTGCGAGGTGGAATAGCTAGGACATTGGGTTATTCACTCTCCAACTTTTTTTCCTTCGTTCTTTCTTTCGATCCTCCTCATCCTTTTTTTATTCTCTTTTCTTTTCCTTCTCTTCACCTCTAATCCTTCATCAATCTGATTTCTCACCTGGATCATGTGTTGATTAGACCTTGTTCTTGATACAAGCAGAAAGTATTCATAGATATTCAGGAGAGACTGTGGCTTCCCTATGAATACCATCAATGAATATTTCTTATTATAGATTGTACCAATTATTTGATGTTTATCAATTTATCTTAAATACCAAGGTTTGCTTGAAAACCTATGGTCTTTTTCGTTTTCTTTGCATACAAAGAAAGGGAAACAAGCAGATGTTCTTGTCTTAGTGTGAGTTGTGTATTTTCATACCTCTTATTTTTAGCAATACCCGTCAATTATGTATTCATATTTTATTTTGCGTCTTCCATTCCTCCTTGTTATCAATGCCAGGTTAAGGAAGATGTGGGAAGCGATGTATGAATGCCATAAGCTTCAGTTCCACATCATCTTGATAGCCCATATCAATGCCAACACAAAAATTGCAATACAGTCGGACTCACACCGGCAGATTACCATCCATCTTGAAAATGAACTGAGCTCTCTATCATCAAGTTTTGCAAAGTGGATTGGCGCTCAGAAATCATATGTAGAAAGTATAGACAAGTGGCTTTCCAAGTGTGTGTCTGTCCCACAAAAATCTTCTAAGAGTAAAAGGAAGATTAAACCTCCACCCTTAAGAAATTTGGGCCCACCCATCTATGCCACCTGTGGTGTCTGGTTGGACAAGCTTGGTACTTTGCCTACTAAAGAAGTTTCTGATTCTATGAAAGTTTTGGCAGCTGAAATTGCCCACTTCTTACCACGTCAAGAAAAGAACCAAGGGAAGGGTGCGAATCATCCTAATTCGACGTCCTGGCAGGCTGGCAGCAACAGTGATGTAGGAGTTAGCTTAATTAGAGATGAAGTTTCTGAGGACTGGATGACAGGTTTTGATACCTTTCGGTCAAGCTTGGTGGGTTTTCTTGGTCAGTTGAATAACTTTGCAGGGTCTTCTGTGAGGATGTTTACTGAGCTCCAAACGGCTATCCAAGATGCAAAGAATAATTATGAACTGAAGTCCCAGGCTGAGCAACTGAAGTCCCAATCATGACAGTCTTTCAACCGAAAAGGAAAAAAAAAAAAGATGTAAAATAATGCAGATGGTTGGAAGCTGCACTGATAAATATTGAAGGAGTGACCCTAGGAATGCAGGGAGAGTTATACATGGCATTTGTACATATAGAGAGAGAAAATAAAGGAGCATATGGCTGGAGCTTCTTCTGAAAGGTTTTATTTACTCTGGTAATAAAGAAGCTCATTGTTGTCTAATAACTATATGTACTTGGTGATGAAGAGAGCTGCTTGCAAAACATCAAGAATCTATATAGCTTTTGTGAATTGGAATGAGCAGGTACAATTTCACCCCTCATCATTTACCACGGTAGCACAATATTCATTTATTCTGTATCGCATTTTGCTTGTGATAGATGCTATTTTAATTCAAAACGAGGAATTTTATTTCCCTATGGTAGTTGGATCTTCCGACAAAAATGGAAACATGCTTAAAAGAAGATTACAGCTGAATAATGTGACGCCTTGCATGGGAACTCTTGTAAAACTGTTGCTTGCTAGGGGATGAAGTTTGGTATTCTGATGGTTTTGAGAAGCTATATTGATCAAGTATGTTTGACTACGTAGTTTTTTCTGCATTGTATTAGTAATAATTGTAAGTTATAAATTATGACTTTTTGTGTTAAAAACTACAGCATTACTAATGAAAGGCGTGCAGGCTAGGCATGGATGGTTACAACAGTTTGTGGGTCTTGGGCACTCCTAGTCCTCACTAAAAAAATTTGCAAATTCTCAAACCATGGTCCTATAGTACTGTGATTATTGCAAAAACTTTAAAATAATGTTTTTTTCTTTATATATCAATCTTCCTAATCAGTATCCCATCTTATAATTTAATAACTTTATAATAGTATACTATTAGCAGGCGTCCCATGTGATACACGGAATTTATAATATTTTTTCATCGTCTTCGTTACTCCTACTTCAGCCCTAATCGTGCTCCATTCTAACATTATTAGAAATTTATTTAGTAATATGCTAAGCTAATATTTTACGAAAAGTTAAATATAAAATAGTTAATAAAGATGATGAGAATTTCAATTGTGAAGTAGTTATCAAAAAGTTGAAAGGAGTTATTTAAGTCACATGTTGAAATTTAATTGGAGAAGGCCAATTAAATAATTAAAAATTATGAGAAAATAGAATTTAGGGAGGGAGGGAAAAGTTTTGTATATACTAGCGGGCATCTATGCGAAATTTATCTCTCTAGTCATCATTGGGTTTCACCTATTTTAACCCTCATATTACTGAAAAATGAAATTAGTAGTTGATTTAATAGTCATTGTCCCGCTATTGAACCTTAAAGTCTCGGGTTCGAATTTCATCGTTCTCCTCCTTATAATAATGTCACAATATTAAGAGATGTGCTATTTTCCTTCCTTAACTAGACAAAATTTTATTTTCGTTCTGATTTGTCGTTAAAATTTGACAAAAAGTCAATGATTGGGACAAAGTGAACACTAATACCTATCATAGCTTTGTGCTTGTCTAGCGATGTTAGACACAACTAACCAGCTCAGCACGAAATTGGGATGGAGGAAGCATGAATCTTAATAGATTTTGGAGCTAAATGGGTAGATCCATCAAAAAAATGAGTCTACATAAATAAGGTTAAACACTACACGAACACGAGCATCCGGCTATAATTTATAATTTACACCCGGCTATAATTTATAGTCGGGTGTAAATTAAATAATTTCTACCACGACACAAATAGGATTTATTGATAATCGTAACTACATGGAGCCAACTTTTGCTGCAATACGACCTATCTCCTTTTCTTTTCTTTTTTTTCTTTCTTTTGATTTATTCTATGTTAATGTTTATGAATGCGCTGGAATAATGAATCACATACAGACACACATAAAATGATGGGGTCGCAGCCTTCAGATCTTCTCATATATCCATTTCGTCCCCATTGAGCTAACTTTCTGAGGCCATTGCATTAGTCATTTTCTGGTCACGTCCTATCCGACTTGAAATCTTTAATCATTCGATTACATTTGCCCCCACCCTGCCTCCGCCCCTGTGTGGTTTTCATATGGCAGTCGGTGGGTTTGTAGTGGGTAGCAGTCGGTGGGTTTCATATGGCAGAGTATAGGGCAGAAGCTGTTATGGCAGTCGGTGGGTTTGTAGCGGATATTTTGCGCTGTGAGGAAGAAGATTTATCAAACGTGGATATGGATACCGATACGGGATACAGGATACAGATACGGATACGACGATACGACAGAGTTTAAAAAAATAAGATTCGAGTACGGCTAAGATACAACTATAATAAAATATATTTAATTTTTTTATTATTTTCAACCAACTTAATACTTATATATTTTTGTACTTCTTTAACATATAATAAGGAAAATTAATAATTCCTTTTAGTTTTAATAAATATATATCATGTCGTTGTAGTATATTCACAAAGTGAATGGACTAATTAAAAGAATCAAAAATAATATTTACCTAGTATTTAGAAGTATTTTTGCGAAGATTATAATGTAATAACTTTACTATATGGTCTTTTGACATGTAATTATAAATAATACTTCAAAAATACTCATGTGCGTTTGAAGTAATATGAAATTTTTGTTAATGTATTATATAGTATGTGAATTCAAAAAGATGTTAAAAGTTCAACTAAAAAATTATATATGTTACTCTAATACAAAAGTATCCGTGAAGTATCTTAATATTTAATTATTATCGGATATGTAAAAGGTGTATCCGATATATATTTTTGATTATCTTGCGAGTATTGTATCCGATATAATATCTGATACGGGTACGTCAACCTCAACGAAGTATACGTGCTTTATATCTTATCACTCATGGGTAAAATAGGAATTTTGTTTTCAAATAATGCTGACATCATCAAAATTGGATACCCCGCTAAAGGGAATTTAATGTTAAGGGTGAATATGTTACAACAAACCAAACCTTAAAGGCTACAGATGTTATTTTTTTATTTTTGGGGGGGTCTATTTAATTAAGTGCAAAACTCAGGGGTCTAAATATAATTTATCCAAAATTAAGCTATCGTCCATTTGGTTATCTATTGTTAGGCCATTAACTATTGCGAGCTTCTCCAACCATTTTAAATTTGAATAAAAAATTTGATTTGATATAAAATATTCTAATGATCAAATTTAAATATCTACTCAAATATTTTCAAAAATTTTCTTACTATCTCAAAGCTCTTTTTTTTTTATATAATTTTTCCCACTACAATATTTTAACCAATATTAAAACTTGTTTCTTACAAACTTCACTAATATTAAAAAAACAAAACGAGGGAAATATCAATCTCTTTGAGTGGTAAATTCGTAAATTTTTTTATTGAGTATGAAAGAAGAGAGAGATTTTTTGAGAGAGAAATAGAGTAGGGAGAGAATAAAAAGTTACTGTCAAAGAATGGAGGCAAGGTGGTCAGTGACCATAGCAACGACTTTGAAGATTGAGGCAGGAGAGGTAAAAACTTATTCCTTTGAATGAGTCTTTTGAGTTTAAATAGGATACAAAATTACCATTAAAAATTTAATATAGAATTTAAATTTTTTTCAATTTAAGTCCAGAATAAGTTTTCCCTTTATTTAGTATAAATTTGAGTCTAAAGTTGGAGAAATTTATTTGATCATTTAAACTCAAATTTAAATTTAAGTTTAAATTTGCGTCAGAATTGAAGATGATTTAATACAATAGATGAAATACACTATATATTTCTTAAAACTTAAAGAGGGATATATAGTAATTATGAAAAAAATTGGTGGGGCCCATGACCCTTTGGCTACAGCCTACAAGGGAGGTCCATCCAGAAGCATGTCGTTGGAATATGCAATTAAGCAATTTAATGTAGGAGCAATGCTATATGGACTTAAAAACTAGATTTAAAAATTGGACTTGATAATCTCAACCATTGATTTCACTGTGGGTCCCATCATTTATTAGGATCTACTATCTATTCAATGATTGAGATTATCAAATTTAATTTTTAAGTCTAGTTTTTAAGTCCATCTAGCATTACTCTTTAATGTAGAACAAGTGACATAAACTCGTGGCATAGTTCGTATGGTAACAAAGTGTATTCCTTTCATTTTTTCCTGGCACGATTTTGTAGCTTTCTCTCTTTCGGTCACTAGGCAGATAAATTATCAATTGTCACATTAGGGGGGGTCACTGCCTAATATGTCCAACACTTTTGCTATCCAACCAGATCTTGAGAAGTCGCATGGTTATTATATGTCAAACTTTATGTGACAGGATTTTTCCCGGTATTAACGAGACATTTGATAATGAAATCATCAATCAATCAATCAGTTGAATTTGTGGGAAGCATGTTGTTGGAATATAGTGTAATTAGTAGTAGTATAATTGAGAACACCAATTCGTGCGTGGCAAGGTTGGTGTCATAACAAAATTTCACTTTCAATTTTCTTTGCAAATGCTTTCTACCTCTTTTTGTAGGCTTCTCTCTATTTTGGCCACTACCCAAATGGATGATCAATTGCGACATTAGTGGTTTAAATAAAATGATAGGTTGCCAATATGCCCAACAATAAATCCGTCTTTATATGAGATTAGTTTTGGGGTGTTAAAATATAACATGATCCATTAATATAATACGAAATTATAGGGTTTGAGTTTTTCTTAAATCACTCAGTTTGTAAATTAGTGGATCCAACATGACATGATTAGTAAACAAATCGGATATGAGTGAAGTCAATAAAAGAAATACACGATATGACTTGTTTATGTATTGATTATATACAATTCATACACGACATAAACCATATAACACGATTTGTTAAACACAAATTAATAAATGAATTGGATATAAGTGAAGTATTTTTAATACAAATTCGTTTCACTCGATACAATTGACAAACATAAGACTAGTGGGCACAACTATAGATTGTCATGGCTAATCATCTGCGTGTAGACATACCTAAACGTAGGGGTGTCCATGGGCTAGGTTATCCACGGGTCCCGTTACCTAACCTGAAAAAAATAGTCCCAAAACTTGATAGGCTTGTTAGTTGGCTCGCCTGAGACCGAACCCAATATCCTTAAAAAAAAAGGTTTGGGTTTTACCCTCAAACCTATTACCCGGCCCCAAGAACCAGCCTATCAAGCCCGCTCGCCAAGCCTAACTTGCCTACACAGCTAGCCCGCCTACCCTTCTTTTAAAAAAAAATTATACTTTTAGACCATTAAATTTGAAACTTTGAAATAAATTTTCTAATGTCAGAATTTGAAGTTTTGAAAAAATTAGATACTATAAATGTATTATTTTATTTTCTATGTATTAAGCAAACAAGTTTTAAAGGGTAGAGTAATGCATATGATAGATAAGTAATTAAGTGTCAATCTAATTAAGATGTATTCATTTTATTGGATGTAGTTCATCCTATAATTAAAAATAATTTTTTTTATTATTTTATCTTTATTCATTTTGATTCTATTTTTTTTTCAAAAATATAATTTACATAAATATTAAATTACAAAAATATTTATCATTTTTAAATGAAGTTGTATATAAAAAAGTCTACAAGCAAGCTTGTCCAGCAAGCCCGCCCACAAGCTCACCCAATAGGCTAGCTAGTTGGGCTGCGGGTAGCCTATCCCTACCCGAACCCACCCCGTTTTGTCCAATAACTCATTTGGGTAAATACTTAGGCTTACATTACCCAACTGGACCGGCGGAAAATTTGCAGGCCTAACCCGGCCTGGTCCATGGACATCTCTAACTAAATGGCTGACTTTACTGATCATAATTTTTAGCTATTGCGCACACATCATTCGTTGCTAAAAAGGAAAAATAACTATGGGTGACAACATTTGCCTTATTAACTATCGTTACCGATATTACTTTTTCGTGTGGTGATCGATTATAGTTAATTGCATGTACACGTCGTCATCCACGGGAAAATAAGCCCACATTTAGTGACTGATTCAAGCAGCTAATTGCCAAGTAAAATCCAATTCATACAATGACCTATATTGCATTAATATGGAATTCGGTCAAAATGGTTCGATAAATTTCCTTTAGCCCTTTGGATTAGGTTTTTTTCCAACGTTGAAAGAGGGTTGGCAAGTGGGAAATCAATAACATTGGGCTACCATCAACAAATTTAATGTCACAGCCAGTATTTGGAAGGACTAGAGAGAGTTTCTAACCTAATTCATCCAATCAGGCCATCAATTTTCTACTTCTTTGGTTAAATTTTTTAGGTATATTTCAAACACTAGATGCATTAATTCATTAGCAATGGAGATCAAGAGCATTCACATGAACCCGCTGATAGGGTGATAATTTTCGACATAACATAATCTAATACGGTTCGAAACTGAAAATATATGAAAAATAAGTGGTATCAAAGGTGGTGGATTTGATTGAGAAAAAAAAAAGATTCGGGACTCAAGCCAATAGTTTCAACCCCCACCGTAAAGACGAGATTTTGCCAAGTTGAATCAAGTGAAGGGATTTGATTTTATTAATATATTTTTTGGAGTATTTCAGAATCATCCCTCCTTAATTGGGTAATTGTACTCAAGTGGCACAATGAAGTGTTTCTGTGAATAAGTTAGGCATCCATTAAATAAAAATTAGGTTGTTTTCAACTTCATGGTGGATTTGTATATAACACCTGAGGATGACTTCTACCATGGTTAATATCCAATGTCAATGGCTTGCGTTTGGCCGGATTATTAGGCCCTAATTGAACAGGACCATTTCTTTGTTTTTGTCGTTGAATCTTCCTTCCCATTTTCCACTAGTTGTTTTTAGCCGAACCTCATTTCTACTCTCCTCGGTAAGTTTTTCTTCTTTCTCTGGGTTACATTTTTTTTTATATATATTTTTCTCTGCTTTTGAAATGGATGTATTCTTTCAATCTTCTCGATTGCGGTGGAGGTCTAGTCAATTGTATATAATCATCAGTCGCTAACACCCATTTTAAATTGTCTAATTCCTTGAAGTTAAGTTAGATCTTCATTCTACAATGTATTTGTACTCATTTGTCACCCTGAAGTTAAGTATTTTACAATTTTAGAATAAGTCAGGCAGCCATGCAATTAATTAGGTTGTTTTCAACCTTATAGTGGAATAATGTACATAACTTGAGAATGACTACCGAGGTTAGTATTTTAATGTCTATGGCTTACGTTTGGCGGGCAGGGCTATTCGTCACTGATTGAGACCATCTTCCATATATTTACCGTTGAATTTTTCCGTTTTCCTTTGGTTGTCCCATTCGTTCTTTTTTTTTTTTTTTTTTTAATATATATATAAATAAATAAAATAACTAATATAATTTTTTGAATTGAAATACAAAAGTACTTTCACGGAAAATAAAATAGCCAAAAGATTATTGTAAAATATATCAAAGCTTCAATTATTTCTCATTATGTTCCACAAATCCAAAAAAAAAAGAATTATAAAATCGAATATGCAACACTCTGTATCACATAAACATAACAGGTATATCTCTGTGTACTAATCTCTACAATCCAACCAAGTATAGTTTTTGATCCTCTCAATTTCAAAATTCTCCAACTTTTCCGATAATAATCATCCACCGTTCATGATGCGGGACCCTCGTGGGTGAATGATTGAAATCCAAAAAATTAGAAACTTCCGAAATACAGAGGATCCCAGAACCCTAATTAACATTCTACCACAGTTTCACACTGTAATCACAATCCTTAGACACAATCTTGGATTCCGCCGTTAAGCTATCCACCGTGACGTCACACTTAACCTTAACGGTAATCTTCCAGGTCTTAACGGACCCCACCTTGATCTTAACGGGTGCTTTAATGTTCAACCTAAACGGCACACTCCCTTGCCTCTGATCGTTTACTAACCCGGACTTAACGGAGCTTGCTAAGACAATACTGGGTCCCTTTAACACCGTCTGAAACAATGTTATATTATTTGACGGCTGGTAAAACGCAGGTAAAGCGCCGTTGCAGAGATTGACGTCCGTGTATAAGACTTTGACGGAGCTTCCGGTCAAGTAGTAAATACCGATCTTGTTGTTAGGGTTCTGGGCTCTGACTGTGACATCAAATTCCGGCGATAGAGGTGATGATGACGTCAGATTCATGCCTTTAATGGCGATGTCCTCGACGGTGTACTTGGGAGCTTCTGGACGGAAAACAAGGTAAAGGACGCCGGCTGCAATAGCGATGAGGATAACAAAGAGGAGGATAAGGCCGAAGATCCAGCAGAGGCACCGGCAACAGCAGCTCCGTTGGGATTTCTTGCGGGTTAGGCTCTGGTAGCGGCGGGCGTTCTCCGGCGGAGGATAGCGGTAGACTTGGTCTTTCGGGACCTGGATGACGTAAGCACCCGGCGGCGGCGGAACCGGCTTTTCAGGCGGTGGCTGAACCGGTTTAGAAGGGGCAACGGCGGAGGCTTCAGACAACGTCGCGCCGGGCTCGCCTGTAACCGGTGGCGAATCTTTGGGGTGAACTCGATCCGCCATTGTAGAGAATGCAGATAGACAGAGATCTGTTCAATAATCTGCAGGCAAAAAGTGTGGGATCAGTATATATGAGAGAGAGAGAGAGAGAGAGAGAGAGAGAGAGAGAGAGAGAGGGTTTTGAAGGGTCGATGGGTTCAGAGAATCTGTGTGTGTTGAGGATGAGACTGTGTGTTTATATACGCAATGGAAGTGGATGCAAAGAAACCGCGTGCGTGGCGTACGCGCCTCGCGTGGAATAGTCTTTTAATGCAGTGTACCGTTAGAACTTTGGATTATTTAGGAAAATTAGAATGCTAAGCTCAGTCAGATGAGTACTCATTTATTATTTTTTCTTAAATGGCATCAATTTGCATTAATATTAAAATAATTTATTACTAATATAACAGACTTTTTTTTTTTTTTTTTGTCATTAACCGACATCTTAATGTCGCGGTAAATATAAGGCCTACAAACCCACATACCATACGATATTGAGATTTGAAAAAATTTAAAATCAAACTTGATTTTCGTTTAATTGTCAGCTTATCACAAAATTATTTTTAAATAAAAGAACCCCTCTTTGATCATATTACCAAAACCCGATATCAAAAATTGAGAGAATTTATACTTTATTAACATGAATAGATCCTCATCGTACAAAAAGAATTAGAACATCCTCTAATTATTTTGTAATTGGATCGGAGAATGATGGTAGAATAATTAGGAAAATTGGAAGGCTGGACATCACCTTAAACTGACAGCTAAGTCTTACCTAGCTAGCAATGGAATTGGGAAAATGACCCTTTCAATGAAGCACTGTGGCTAAACCAAGGATTACTATTGGTCTATCACATTGTCAGTTCCAAATCACACATTGGTCCAAAAAGTCAACAATCTACCGAGCATGCTGCACTCCAAGAAAATTAGATTGAAGGTAACTATCAAATGTTTAAGAAAAATAATCACCCCCTAGTTGCTTGGGGTAGTCACAATTATTAAATCTCATGAAAATATTATTTTATTTTTTTTGAATTTTAATAGAATAAAAGCTTTTGTTAAAATAATAAGGGCGGCTATGAGCCAAGATATGTGTACATAGATTTTTGGGTAGTCTTTTTTTGTAAATCAATTTTTAAGGACAAATTTATCCATGACTCTAAGAATTGATATTAGAACTAGCCAACAAGTAGAGTATGAAATTAGACGTATGACTATCCGTAATTAGGTCATAAAATAGGATCCCACACTAATTAAATATGAGATTAAATATATGTATATAAATTCTTATGTTACACCATTTGGTAGAAACGATGAAAAGTAACATAGATGAAAAGTAGGAGGGATACATTTTTCTATCATTCAAAAAATAAAAGTAGACATAATAGATTTTTTTTCTTTGTATTTGATATGATAGATAAAAAATAAAAATGATTAATTTTTTTTCTTGCTAATATTAAGAGTAACAATTGAGTTGTGTCGTGTCAGGTTTGTGTTGAATTATTGCGGGTTCGTGTCGAATATTAGTTAAACTTAACTCAACTCATTTAATTAATCGTGTCGTGTCGAATTGACCTGTTTACTTTCGTGTAATGTTCGTATTCGTGTTACCCACATAAATTTTGAATAAAAAATTTAACTCTAATATTATATTTTCACTTATTGAATTCATGCTTATAATTTTTTTATAAACTAAAAATTAACTTAAATAAATATAATAATAATAAATAAAAATATATTTTTTATATAATAATTATATCAGTGTTTAATAAATAGTTACAAATAATTAACATTTTATGTCTATAATACTCGTTAAACATATTAATATCATATTACCATACAAACGAAAAAATGGAGAAAATGTTTATTCTTAAATAAACGCGTTGATGGGGTTAATTTTGGGTTTGACGGGTTAAACTGGAAATGAGCCGTTTATATTTTGTGTTTGTGTGTCAGGTCATTTTCAAGTTCGTGTCAAATTTTAATCAAGTTCATGTCATAAAATTTGTGTCGAATTCGAGTCATATCATCGTATTAGGTCTGAAATTTCCACCCCTAGTTAATATAGAAAAAAAATATATTTTTTATTTTTTATTTTTAAAATTTTTACTTTTAATTTTTTTTTAAAAAAAATGAAATTAATATATACATATATATATATATATATATATATATACCAAATGATATATATACAAATAAGATACATTTCAAAACAAATAATTAATTTTTCATCCATTTTTCTTCCGATTTTGATAAGTTGAAAAAAAAACTCATTCATTCACTTTTTCATCCTTCCAATTTTCTTTCCTTACCAAATATGATGTTTTATTTATTTCTCAAACATTTCGTCCTTCTAACTTTTTTATTTTTTTTATTTTTTCATAGCTTCCATGCAAGTTGATTTTTAGTTTTACTCATGGATTCATATATAAGATGTTACTTATCAAATTTCATATACTTTTTTTCTGGTAAGCATGCTACACATATATATCCTCGTAAAAACATATGCAAATTATTTTAGATTATAAACTCAACTCAACTCAGTAAACATTTCATTGGAAGTTTGCAAGGGATAACTAACCATCTAACATAAGAGTTGCCTAGAGCTAGAAGGATAGGCGAATCTCAAGAAAGAGCGAATTTTCTTGGAGAAGAAAAATAGAAAAGAAACTGAAGAATAATACCCATTATTTGAGAGGAAGTCAGTTTCGAAACCTTTTTCAGTACAGTACGTATTACTAAGCTAACTATCAAGTTACATAACGTGGATCATACTTGATATTCGATATACAAGGACAATATAGTCTTGGATAGGATCAAACCCGAGAAAAAGAATGAGGTATCAAAATCAATTACCTGGAATCAGCTTGAGCTATCACAACTCTGTTGCCTCTGGAGATGACTCTCTGTTCTTTTTGCTTGTGGAGAAGAGAAAGGTATGAGAGAGAAATGAGTTGTTTGAGCCAGTTCAGAGAGAAAACGAGTAAGCGAACTTCTGTATATATATATATGTATAGGGTGGTTAGGAAAAAGCACATCGGAGTACAGTTCATTGTTTGATGTCAAGATTGCTTCAAAGGAGCACGCAGGCAGATTGGACATTTTCTTTTGTTTGGAGCTGGTTCTAATGGTATGAAAATGAAACAAAACATTAACCTGGTACTGTCGTTGTAGAAGTACAGATATACCCCTCTTCTCCTGCATATATTGTGTGTTTTAAAATCAGATTGATTGTCAAACATTGTATATGAATTAGCATACTATGTGGTTCTCTATTTTTGACAATTTTTACATAGTGGTTTAAAAAAAAAAGGGCAGTTTAGGTTTTTTGCATGTCCAAACCATTTTTCCTTCAATTAGTCTTAGTTGGATGAAGGACCCATTTTTTCTTTCTAACCGCGTAGTGAGGCCATGAGGGTTCCAGAGGTTTATCAACTATCACACGTCAAAGAAAAAAACGTATCTACAATTTATTTTATTAATTAAGTCCACTATTTTATTTTTCCATCTATATAATAAAGTATATAATCCTACTTATACTAAGTACAACATTGGTCCTAATCGTTTAGATTCGACAGTTTATATTATGCTTCAAATTTTAATTTTTTTAACAACAGTAGGTCAAAATCATATTTTGCACGAGAGAATACCCTAGTTTGTCTGTAAAAAAAAAGGGGCGAGTGCAATCATATTTTTATTAGAGAAAATTAGATCTTATTTTTGGTAATTTATTCTCATGAAATCTTAAAACTCCATCTATAATTGGTCATGTTGCACTTTTATCCTTCTCATAAAGCCATCAATACATTTTTACCAATAAAACTTATTGATAAAAATGTAATTGATTTTTCTATTAGAGCACTGCTAATAAATATAAGATATGGCAGTAAATTTTAATAAACAAACAGAACTTATTAGTAGTTTTTTTTTATGATGATAAAACAATCTAAAGTAGTGTCTCATTGGACCTACCCTAATTGAGTAAAATCTTAGATACTAAAAATCATTCTCTAGACATATATACCGTGGATCTTGTAACATTGTGGCCAATTGTATAGAGCGGAGTTTATTCCAAAGTTTTTGATAACTCCCATCCGCGATTATATTTGTTTTTCATAATTTATTGAAGTATCTTTGTTTCTTATCAAAAAAAAATAAAAAATTAGGTATTGATTAAAGTCGAAAGACACTAACAAAGATGTTCACGTTTATTATTCGCCCCAAAATTAATTTCCACCCCATTGGACAACACATCTTTCTGGGTGAGATGCGCGTGAATTATTTAGAATCGGTGTTGAACAATCCTACAAGTTGTTGGAAAATGACTCAAACTCCTTAGTTATGATTATGATGAATGAGAGTTTGTTGGATAATTACTGGGACAATCATATATGATATATGATTATATTGAAAGAGTTTTAATTTACTATAAATAGTTATGTTAGACATGTGATAAGAAAAATAAATATTAAATTGTATTTAAATAGTTTTGGATTACAGTATGTTATCCTTATAAATATGACTGACTATTATGTAATCAGCTACCAGATGACCAGATTTCAGCGAATAATATATCGATGTAAATTTTTGGTCCGTGGATGTAGGTATGGTGTACCAAAATAGGTATGCTGTATCGAACCACGTTATATTTTTGTATCATATTTTTATTGTTTTTCTATCTTTCAACAAGTATTATTTGTATTAATTATTCGTAGTGCAAAATCAACAAGTAGTATCAGATGATATCAAAGCTATGTCCCAACGCAAGCTAAATAAGACAAAACAAAAGCAATTCATATTTTTTAGCTGCTTGGTATTTTTATCATGTCCGGCCAACCATTCTGCTAAATTATGTGGTGATAACGATGGCCAGTGTACTTAGTTTTGTGTTTTTTTCTCCATTAGCTTTGAACATTAATCTCCAGAATAGTTTAATGGGAAAGATTAAACACTGTACGTAATATTTGAAAGTCCTAAATTCGAGTGTCGATTGATCCAATGCACGTAATTCGAGAATAGTAGCCACTAGTTCCAAAAATATGAAGTGTGAGAGAATGCAAAAGTTACCATGTAATGGTTGCTTAAAGGGTAATCGAGACAAGTTATAAATTTAAATGTGTTGGGTTTAAATTTTGATAACCTTTAATTTCGGCGTGGGTAATCTACTTTTAACCAAACTGAAAAAAAGATTAATCAAGACGCACATAAGTTGGTCCGAACACTCTGACAATTGAACCTAATATAAAAAAAAGTGCAAAAGTTACCAAAAGACATACCATGACACCAAAGTTAGCCAGTTGAACCAAACTTACATTGGTTTTATCACCCGGAGTGATGCATTGAAGGGCGATCAAGGCTTGAAATTTCAAAATTTCTTTCGAATTATGTTGTAATTTTAAATGACACTTACAACCTCTCCAACCAATCAACCACTTTTACCAATTTAGTTTTCATTGGAAAAATTTCAATCACACCCCCTCTAATTTATCATATCTTCGAAGATACTCCTTTATTTTCTAAATCTTCACTGACACCCCTATTAGATTAAAAATATTAATTAGAATGTAATTTTATTAAATTATCCATGATATATTTGAGGACAAACTACATCTACATCCCTTCTAAATAAACATATCTTCAATGAGACCCCCTCTATTTTCTAATTTTTTATAGGTATTAAAATTCGGGTCGATTAAAATTCGATTCAAGCTAATTAAAATTTATTTTCTTACATATTAAAATTTGAGCCAATTAAAAATTATATTTAATCTATTCAAATCAAATTTTAATCAACTTGCATTGAATTTTAATTAGTCCAAATTTTAATACATAAAAAAATATAAATTTTAATTGACTCAAATGTTTAATAAATCAAATTTTAATTGACACGAATTTTAATAAATAAAAAAATATAAATTTTAATCGACTCCAAAGTGAATTTTAATCGGCGCTAACAACTCGGGTAGAGTTTAAATCGGTTCAAATTTTAATGCGTAAAAATAAATTTTAATAGGCTCGAATTTTAATACGTTAAAATAAATAAAATTTAATTAGCTTCAATCGAATTTTAATTGGTTCAAATTTTAATATGTAGAAAAATAAATTTTAATCGGCTCGAATTTTAATAAAATTTTATATAGAAAAATTAATTGAGATTTATGTAGGGGTATTTTAGATGAATTTTTTTTGTTATAAATGGTAGTTTAATGGTAGGGGATGTTAGTGATGTTTTTGAAAATAAAGAAGGTGTCTTTAACGATATAATAAGTTAGGAGAGGTGTGAGTGAAATTTTCCCTTTCCACTATCATCTTGATTCTCTGAATGAGATGTTAAGGATCAATCCTTATCAAAAGCGCCAGATGATTTCTCATGTCCATCTTTTTGAGCTTTCTACATTGTGCTCCTCTTTCAAGCTCCTGTCACACCATATGGGTGCTTGCTATTGAAATTTTTTTCAAAGTAATATGATCTATAGTATGTACTTTGGTGGATTTCATCACTGTTGATACTGTTATGGAAAACTGTGAAAGATATTAATGGAGAATTCCATAGAGAAGGAAAATAAAATATTTATTATTAATAGACATCTATCGCATTTTATTATTTTGATGCTAAAAGTAATGATATTGTAACTTAATTCACTATGATCTTTTTGAAAAAATATTCATTGCAACGGTGATACTACGTTAACAATGTTATATGATATCATCAACCAATAAAATACAGACAAATAATGAAGTAGACTCCACATAAGCCAATAACTACCCGTCCATATAAGTAGATAACTATTCACTCATCTTCCGTGTAATAACTAACTATCCAAGTGAGGTTTACTTTGTTCATTTAGAATTTTATTATTAGTTGGTGATATCAACTCATCAATGCTGACATGGTATCACCATTGTATTTAGTACTCTCTCGGTCTTTGGATTGACTGTGAGTCCTATCAAACATTAGAACTTAATGTTGATTCAATAGTTCTAATAAAGTCAAATCATTAAATCAACAAATTAAATTAAATTTTTAAGTTCAAATAACATTACTCTTGATGCTAAGCATGCTAATACGCATGCATGACATGAGGGTGCACATGGAAAATTTTGCATCCAAAAAGATAACAGAAGTTTATTCTTAGGCCAATTCAATTAGTTGAGGAGGTTATAGTTGAGCCAATTCAAAAATTCAAAAAATAAAGTGAGATCGAGGCCAGAGTTGAAGAGGTCAAATTATAATTTATCCTTAAAAATATAGTGGCCCAACATTTGCATGAAGCACAATTTACCTACTGACCAGAAGACCGATGAAATTCCAGTTACCAAACAGTTCTATGACAAGGCTTATAATCGCATGTCAAATGATGGGGAAATTTATAAGTGCACACAGCACAAAGAGAAGTTGGCTTCACAAGACAATTTGCTCAAACACATTAGAACTCTTTCAGAATGAAATTGCAGCCCTGGATAAGGAATTTAAAGAATAATGAACAATTTATTTACAAGAAATTTTATTGTGATTCCCTCAAACTGTCAGAAATGAACAAAAAAGGCAACAATTGTGAAAAACTGAGAGAACCAATCAATTTCTGCTAGCAACAGGCAATATGGTTAGAGGTCTACCTAGCTGGATCCTGTTCTGAAACTATAGGAGGAAAGATCTTCAAAAACTGTATTCATATCAGGTCTTTCTGCTGCCGGAAGAATACATCTGAGGGCCACTTGAAGCGTATTATCCAGACTTTTAGGTAGGTTCCCCCTATTATAGGCCCCCAAAATCACTCTGTCAAAGCACTCGATGGAATGGTTTTCTGCAGCCAAAAGTCTCACCCATTCTGTCAGATCCAATGCTCCTGAATTCCCAGGAATAATCTCGGATGAACTTTTTCCAGTCAAGAGCTCTAACAAGATAACCCCAAAAGCATACACATCACTCTTCAATGATGGGCAGGGTTTACTTGTGCTGCCAAATTCAGGTGGCCGGTAACCAAGGGCCCCTGCATTTAGAACCTGCTCAGTTGTTCCGGCCGATGTCAATATCCGATGGAGACTGTAGTCAGTTAGGAGTGCATTCAAGTTGGGAGTGTCAAGTAAAATGTTTGTGGATTTCAGGTTGCCATGAGGTATTGCTCTCTCGCCATGAAGGTAGTTCAAACAATGCGCCACATCTATAGCAATCTTGAGCCGTTCATCTAGAGACAAGGGTGGGAGTGTGCTGGGATCTGTATCTGCAGAAGACATGGAAAGCATGCAAGTGACCGGAGCATCACATATTCGATAATGCCAAAAAACACAAATAGAACATTTAACTAGATGATGTTTCCCCCTGAAGTAGTTCTATGCACATGAGAAGGCCATTTTTGACACGGCAATTGACCAGAGATCAACTGATTGTTTGAACTCTACTGTCATACTTCCTGCAATTGATATGCTGTCTGCAAATTTAGTGAATCACCGCCAGTTCATGTTGACATCAAAGTAATTTCAAATTACCATGCACTCTTTAATTTATATTCCTACAATCTTGAAATATTGGCTTCTGAAACTTACCAAAACTGAATCTCCACAACAAAGATAGGGCCAGGCATTTTAATATCCAGTTCCATCACTAATCTTGAGATCCTACATGTCAAATATTTCTCGTGTACAAAAAAAAAATTGATTTTTGTTTTTTGTCTGATTTGGTTAAGCAATCGATATTAATGCACAGATGCCACAGAAAATTCATTGCAATGGCTTGAACATAATACCACTTGATCTGTCAAAGATAGTTTCTGTAAAATAACAATTCAAGACAGAAAAAATAAATGAAAAAAGAGATTTTAAATGACTCAGTTTTGAGATTTCAGAATCAAATTAAATATCATCAAAAGACCACGGACCTTTGCCTTCAGAAAACCAACCTTATAGGGAATGTTTCAGGAAAACAACAGAATGAGATGTATCTGTATCTCTTCTGTTGAGCATATGGAAACATGAATTTTTTACGGCAAGAAAAATGCCCTAGTGCAAATGCACAAGTCAAAGTAACTTCAAACTAAACAAATCAAAATTAAAATTGTTAAGGTGTAATTGTTGAGCACCTAACATATTCTTCCATAAGCAGATGGTCCAAATTTGCCCCATCACTCTAGCTGTTACCTAAAAAACTGCCTATTAAACACCTGAAACTCCATGTCAGTAGATTGGTAGGTGCCCATCTGCTGATTGTATTTAGGCAGCTTTTACATTGTGTGAAAAGTTGCCTGTGTAGCACTGCTTTTCACAGCCAAATGGCTAGATGCTCTTTATTAGCTGGATCAAGGCTCTGTCAAGGCAACCTTTTGACTAATATCATGGACGATGATAAACATCAGAAGCTAAAAAGTAGTCATATACCAGATTAAACTCGACAACAAGAACTTGGTCTCTCAAATATTAGAAGCCTATGCCATTGTCAGCTTTGGAGTAACCTGGGGTGTGAATTAAATACTGGATCTTCTTAATTGCAAGGAGTGAGCACAACACTCAGATATCAGTTGATCTGGTGAGATTTAGCTGGTTGATCATCAACCAGGTTCAACAACTTAATTATCTGAGCTCAGTCACTTCCATTTCATTCATCAATTTTCTAATCACCTGAAAGAGGGCATGCTAGAACATATCTTTATAATTTTTAACATTCAAATCAAGTTGACTTTTGGTTTCCGCATATAGGACATATGAATGATGTGCCCAACAATGAACTGATCAACTTAGCCCTGATTACGAAAAGACATAATTAGAATTTGGTAGGCTGCAATGTTGCAATAATGAAAGGAAATTGAATTTACCATGGAGATAGAGAGCCAGACATGGTGCATTGACATAATCTGATATGATCATCTTCTCATGTTCCCTTGGGCCACAGTAATAACCCCGCAGAGAAACTAGATTTTGATATTTGATGTTCCCCAGTTTCTTGGCCTCTCTTGAAAATTCTTTCCTTCCTTTCGCTATCCCTTCCTTCAGCCATTTCACTGCCAATACTTGACCAGAGCCAAGAACAACTCTATATAGTGTTCCATGACAGCTCCTTCCAATAACCTCTGCAGGAGCACATGAAAGTTCTTCAGCAGTGAATGTGATGGAGCTATCAAAGAGATGTAGATCCCCAGCCAGTTTATCTGGAGAATAAACCTTGAGTAAACCAGGATCCTCAGAGAGATGCTGGATTGTAGAAGGAGATGGATTAGCAGATGACATGAGAGAAGTGGGAGAAGATATTTCTTCATTTTTCTGTATTGATTCTGGCAGGCCAAGATATTTGACCATCTGTGCTTGTACACCTGATGCAGTGTCCCCATGCCCAAGTGTAGGCTCTACTTGTGAGGAGGATGAATGATCTTGAGGGAATTTAGGAGAAGTTAATGATGGTTCCACCACTTTGTTTAGGCTTGATTGATCAGGATGGAAAGAAATACCTTGCTGGATGTCTTTCTGTCCGCCGACTACTTTTGAATTGTTCCTCCCACCATCCTGTTGGTGGGTTTTATAGTAGATCAACAATGTCAATAGAGCTATAATACAAGCACCGCCTACCAAACCTGCAATAAGCACAGCCCTAATAGCAGATTTCATGTGGGAGCCGTGCCTTCCCAAATTGATGTTTGGAACACCATTTGGTGCAGATGTCTTATAAGGGAAAATCAGTAGGGGATTTCCTGGATGGAATGCTGAATCAGGGAACCTCCTTAAGCTTTCAGGTACTAGACCAGAGAGATTATTATAAGACACATCGAATCCTTTCAGTTCGCCTGGAAGGTCATCAGGGATGCCGCCTTCAAAATGATTGTTAGACAAATTTAGATCGACCATGTTGTGGAACTCACCAATATCTGGGGGCAAATGACCATTTAGTGCATTATGTGACAGATCAAGAGACACCAGGCTCAAATTCTTGGTGGACTCTGCAAAAAGTTTATCCATGGATGCCTGAGTAGGAATTGCCCCAGTGAAGTTGTTGAAAGACAGGTTAAGATTAGTCAATCTTGTCGAGTTGAAAAGGCTAGGAAGAAGGAAACCATTAAGCTTGTTGAGGCTAAGATCTATCACTTTTATTTCTGGGTATGTACCTAACACAGGTGGGAGAACACCCTCCATTGAGTTGTTAGAAATCTTGAGTGAAGTAAGCCTCAAGAATCGAGTAGTTTCACTTGGCAGGGTTCCTGTCAATGAGTTTGAACTTAAGTCAATAATTTCCACATAATTCCCCCAACTCTGAATTCTAGACAAGTTCCCTGAAAGCATGTTATTACTCAGGTCTACAATGGCACAGTGTCCCACATTGGCAGGCAAGGTGCCTGACAGCTTGTTAGAGGATAGATTAAGATATTTCAAATTCGCAGATGTGATGCTCCCTACTGGACCTGTCACAGAAAATAATGGTTAGAATGATAAAGAGTCTACTACACCAGACCAGTCATAGACAGATTATAATAAAAATGATAAAAGAGGAACGGCGGCCTTAGATTAAGCTAGCTAAAATCTGAAAAATGTGATATACAAATGAGAATTGAAAGCTGAAATTTGAAAACCACATGCAACATCATACAGTAGTGAAAACTCCACATTGGAAAATTTTTGCTGGGTGCCGCATCCAAACAATTAATATAAAACACTTTGAAAGCTGGAAGGTCAGCTTCTCTATCAAATCAGCATTGCATCATGTGTGGTAAGCTTCTCTATCAAATCATACATTCACAGATTTCACTATTTTGAATGTGTATTCTACTAGATGTTAGTAAAATATGATTTTAAAAAGTTTTATGTCTGCCTTTTTCTGTGATACGTTCAGATATTTTAGACAATGTCTTCACATTGGTCAGTGGAAGGATAACAGATGTCTTCACATTGGTCAATGGAAAGATAACAGCTCAGAATTATTGACTGGCACTAAAAGATAAGCATCATGCATCAGAATAAAGAACGACGGAAAAGAGAAAAGACAAGAATTGTCAAATTATGAAGAAACAAGGAAGATCAGTTACACATAGATGTGCTAGAGAAAAGACAGGGTTTGCCACATCACAAAAAAAAAAAAAAAAAACAAATTTGCCTAATTAACATCTAGATTACTAATTGTTTGGAATTGCAGGGCATGAAGAAACTAATGTGTTAACAAGCATTAATGCACGAAATCAGGACTACTGCATGTAGGGGCTTGCCAGTAACGTAAATACAAGTCATTTCTTGTTCGATAGGTTTTGGATTCAATAATGTAGCACAAATTCACCAGGTTATAAGAAACATGTCAATTATTATGAGATTCCATTTTCTTTTTAGATTGCCGCTGGTCTCATATAATTTCTTGATGTTCGAAGAAAAATAACCAATGTATTCACCCACCTCATGTATGAAGACCATGTAGTGAGTTTAGATAACATTTAGTGACCTGGTTAAGGAATCACATAACTATTAACTGAGTTTAGAATGTTCTTTATCTTAATACTGAAAAAGGATAGCCAGGATGCAATTTGCGTTATAGGTGAAGAATGTCTCGTGTTTACAAAAATGGGTGGAAACTGTTATGTCTCAGGGAGAGATAGAGGCCCAGGGTACACACTGTGATGTGATGCCACTAAGAAAATATGGGACGAGTACAACTCATACCATTCCCCAATAAATGTCTCTTGTCATACCTATTGCAACATTTTAAGTTATAGTGCCAAGTGCCAACAACACATGGTAAGGTCAAATCCACCATATTCAATATGTTAGTAAAAAATACATCCGGCATTTTGATAGCAGACTCAGAGATAAATGGAATCCAGATATAGATAACACTGAATTCTTTTCTGCATATATTTCCCATAGCAAATTAGCAAACGTTGGCCCAAGAGAGAGTGAACAAACTCAATGTGTAAGGTGCAGCAAGGTGTTAATATCAACATACCTTCAAGCTGGTTAAGGCCGAGATCTAATTCAGACAAGACCATTGAGCTCTCCTGCAAAAGAGCTTCAGGCAGCGAGCCCGATAACTGATTGCTTCCAAGCTTGAGAACCCGAAGCGAGACTATAAAATTGAAGGAAGGTATATTACCTACAAACTGATTATAACTTGCATCAAACACCTCTAGATTGTCAAAATATGGCATTCCATCATGAGAGAAGAGGTCCCCATCCAATCTATTGTAACTGATATTTAAATATTGAATTGCGGAAACAAAGCTGGAGTTTCCAAGCCCCAAGTCCAGGGATCCAGAGAACCCATTGCTGCTGAGGTCGACATACACCACACCACCCAATTGGGACAAAAGAAGCATAACATCCCCAGAAAAACCATTAGAGTGCAAATCTAGATACATCAACTGCTCAAGATTTCCCAAACCAGAGGGAAATATGCCTTCTAAATTGTTTGATGAAAGATTCAAAAGCACCAAGTTCGTTAAATTGGTCAATTGAGAGGGAATTGACCCATGAAACAAATTGCCAGAAAGATCCAAATATTCCAATGACTCCATCAAGCCAACCTCGTCTGTGATATTGCCTGTCAACTGGTTGCTGGAAATTGATAAGTTACTAAGCATTTTAAGCCCCGCAATAACAGGGAAATCAAAGTTTCCAACTAGACTCATATTACTTAGCATGATCGATGTCACATGGCCGTCAGTACAACTAATACCGTACCAATTTAGGGGGCACCCATCAGATGCTAGGGACTTGGAATCCCACGAAATAAGAATATTCTCCAATGGGTCTTTCTGAATTCCTTTCTTTAGCTCTAGAAGTGCATCAACATCTGATTCTCCAATTGCCAACTTAACTAACAGCAATACTATCAAACAAATGGACTGCATTACTCCCTTAAGAAACCCTACAGAGTAGAAGAAATTATAGGAACCAGAACTAAGGAAGTAGAAAATGTCCCAAAAGATTCATAGTCGAAAACAACTTCAGGAAAGTGAGAAGCTTCATTGCAATGGTGGCAGGTATCAACTCGAGATACATAACAACCAATTCCTAACGGAATGAAGACACAGAGTAACCCATAGTTGAACGACAAAAGTGTAAACGAACAAGAAGCAGCTAAGAGGTAATGAGCTATGAGAAGGTCAAAGAAGCTCAGTGGAATCAACCAATGAAAGCACTTTGAAACTAATTCAAGAGAAATTAACAGGTGAAGTATTGTGAGTACAACAAACAAGAACCCATTTTGTACAAATTAAAACTAGTCCGATTCGGAACCGAATTGTAACATAAGTTCCAATCACTAGTAAGAAAGAACAAGTAGAAGAATGAGAAAGATAGCATAAGACCCTACATTTTCAAGAATGAGAAGCAAATGAAATTGAGTATTATCCAGTTAACTGAACAAGAACAAAAACAAAAACAAGTGAAAGAAAACAAAACCAGAATGGCAATACACACAATGTAGAGGTCTTTATTAAGAATCCATAAGAAGGAAGTAGAATCAAACTCCGTGAAGTTTATCCGAGACTAAGCCGTCGTATATTCTGAAGTAGATACTTAGGTGAAGACTGTTAAATGAAGAACTGACGGAGGTTCGAAGTAGCAATGTGGAGGAAAACAGCTCAGATGGGGTAGCTGGATGAGGTGTTAACTGCATTGAAATTTGTAACTAAACTTGTTTGTGTGTGTGTGTGTGTGTGAGAGAGAGAGAGCGAGATGGGGGGGGGGGGGGGGGAGGGAGAGAGAGAGTGTTTTGGGGAACAGTTACAGTGTAAGTTGGACTTTGACTTCTTTTGTTTTTTCTTTATTAATTAATCTATAATTTAAATAATTTTTATCAAATTTTTTTTACCAAATTCCCATATTTTTTTGAACTTATATTTCAAAGTTCAAAGTAGGATTGTTGTAGTTTTTTGGGAAAATTCGGTTCCACTCAATTTAGTTTATCATATTTTTAAGGATTTTTTTTTATTATCAAAAATATTACTAAAACTCCTTCTAATTTATAGTATTTAAATATCACTTACCCCTATATAAACTCAAAACAATTTTTTTACATAAAATTTAATTAAAATTCGAGCCGATTACAAAATTTATTTTTTTACATATTAAAATTTGAGCTAACTAAAATTATTTTTTCTACATATTAAAATTTGAATCGATTAAAAATTGAGTCGAATTGATTAAATTTTATTTTTTTACGTATTAAAATTTGAACTTATTAAAAGTCGTTTACGTATTAAAATTTGAGTCAATTTAAACTCTACTTGAGCTAATAGCCTCGATTAAAATTGACTTCAACAATTTATATTTTTTATTTATTAAAATTTAATTTAAGTTAATTAAATTTATTTTATACGTATTAAAATTTGAGTCAATTAAAATTTATATTTTTTTATATATAAAAAATTGGACCGATTAAAATTTAATATGAGTTTATTAAAATTTAATATGAGTTTATTAAAATTTGATCTAAGCCTCGAACAAAATTTTAATCAACTCAAATTTTAATACATAAAAAATATAATTTTTAATTGACTTAAATTTTAATATATAAAAATAAATTTTAATTAATTTAAATCAAATTTTAATCGACCTAAATTTTAATACGTACACAAATTTTAAAAATAGTGGGAGTCTCATTGAAGATATGACTATTTAAAAAGAGTGTGGATGACGTTTTTCCTAAAATATATCATGCGTAATTTAGTAAAATTGCATTCCAATTAAGACCTTTAATCTGAAAATGAGATATCATTGAAGACTCATAAAATAAAATAATGGGGATGTCCTCAAATATATGATAAATTAGAAAGGGTGTGGCTGAATTTTTTCCTAGTTTTTATGAAGTTATAGGTATAAAACATGATTTTAATAAAAATAAATTGAAAATGTTAGTATTGTGAAAAGTAAATTAAAAAGAAAAAATGTTATTTGAACTAAATTTGGAAATCTAATTTAATATAACTATTGAATTGATATTGGACTCCATCTAATACAACTAGTCATTAAATTAAATCCTTATAACATTGCTCATTGCTCAATTAAAGATCAAAAAAGTACTATTTAGACTTAAAATGTTAATATCCTTTGTTAACCTCATCCATCACAATCCTTAAATAAATAATAAATTTTAATAAATATTGAGATCTATAATTAAATTAATAAAAAATAATTAATTAAGTCAATAAACAATATCAATATTTCAAATCCAAGTAAGATTGATCCGAAAAAACCATATAATTTGGCCATAGATGCTTCTTCTTATCGAGGCTGGGGTAGAAGGCCCTGTTTGGTAGATCATTAATGGACTTGAGAAAGTTGGGCATGTGGTGGTCCTAAAATTTCAGTTGCAATAATAAATGCTAGAGCCGTGGGATTCGCACCCAGTTGTCAGATTGTGAGACAAGGTGATCCATGTCATTTTCAGCCCTCTTGTTTAAGGTTTGGTATCATATTTGGGTTGTGTTAAAATTGATATGCATAATTCGTCCACTAAAAATATTTAGATTAGAACCAACTTTTTTCTCAACTAAATCTATCACACATGTATAGAAATAGGAATAATAATCGAGTAAAATTACTTAGACTCAGCTCGTATTCGATTCGTATAACATTTACTCTAATTCGGTTCGTTTATACTCGAATTAAATGAGTTGAGTTTAAATAAATTTTTGAAGTTCAATTCGAGATTGACTCTGGTTCTGTTCGTTTTTTAGCCTATAAATTTTATTATTTTGGACTCACTAAGCTCGCAAAGTTCATCTTAATTATCAGTCTTATATATACCTCATAAATTAAAAACAATTTTTATCAACACCCTAACGAAACCAAATTGGAAATAATTTTAACAATACAACAATTCATAAAATACTAGATCAAGAAATAAAAAATTTAAAAATTTAGGTGTTTTCTTAATATAATTCCAGTTAAAAGGGGGTCAAAATCGAATTAAACATGCATCATATTATCTTGATTCATTTATTATTTAAATTAATAAATAATTTTCATTATCGAATTTGTATCAAACTGAATTTAACTTATGTCACAGGTCAGTGTTGCAAACAGTTACCCTAAGCAGGTCTAGGGTCTTGCGAGAAAAAATAAACACAAAAAAAAAAAAAAACTGGGTTACATGGGTCCATAATTGGCTCGTCATCAATATTTGTTTCATGTTTGAATGTCATTATCAACATTTTAATTGTTATCTTCTTATTATATTATTTCATTATCTTCCCTTATTTGACATCCATTACTTGTTCAGTGACAATTTTTTCATTTCATTTAGTACAAGATTGCGTCACACCTCGCAGTGCTTACTGCTCTCGCCTATTAAAATTTTATTAAAAAATCTCATCTAAGAACTTGTATAAAAAAGTATTTCCTATCGCATAACAGTTCTTCCATACCAACTTAGATGTCTGACCCGACGCTCATATTGGCATAACAATCGGAACACCATAGGTTAGCCCAACCCAGTCTTCTCATACGAGGCTTGGCTCCTTGAAGTTCTTCTTTTAACACCAATGATAGATAGGAACCGAACTGTCTTATAATGTTCTAAATCCAACTCACGTACCACTTGAAGCGGCAAACAACTGAACCCTTGAAACCTTCTTTAACCCCAGGACGTGATGAGTTGGATTTAGAACATTGTAAGATAGTTCAGTTCCTCTGATCCGTTGATAAAAGTTATTGGGAGTCATCAGTCTATTATTCCCGGCATACCTCTGATCCGTTGAGCGAGAGCCCTTCCACACAGGACTCCCGAATCACCATGGCCGACTTTCGGTCAAGTAGACTTATACCATTACACTCACAAGAAGAATCTTAGCTTAAGCCTACTTTTGCACACATCCGTTACTATTTAGGAGACATCCGCCCCAGATAAACTATCTATCTTGCAGTATCCCGCCATTCTCCCAAGTGTATCCACTAATAATCTTTTGTAAAATTAAATTGAGTTGAATCTAAATTCTGTAAGTCAAAAAAATACAAGCCAAAATTTTATTAAATAGACTTTTATTAAATACAAGTCAAAATAGGTTTTGTCGGAATTCTTGAGTGATTGCCAGTTATTTTCATCAATGTGTACTCCTTCTAATTCATAGTCGAAGTTCTCTTCTACTTCAACTGCTTTAATTTCTGCAATACCATTCGAGGTCAATATCTCCACAATGTCCCAAAGGTGTTCGAAGAAATGCCTTGAAGCCATTCCAATAGATGAAATAACCATTGTAATTAAGCCCCAATAACTCTACCACCTCCAAAGGCCCAAGCTGTAATATGGAACAAATTCAAGCACAAAAGGAAGTGGGGAAATCATCCTGGAAAGCACGGACGCTAGATAACCCCGCCCAAACTCAAGCTTTGGGAAAAACTTGAACTCTGAAGTTGGTACAATCCAAGGCAGAGCTGATCCAACCACAGTGGTGGTATTTGGTCATACTGAACTGAAGAGAGAATACAACTACACACCTCAAATCATCAGAAGTTCAATTCTTTGTGAGACTCCTTGGTGAACTATTAGATCTTTATGGATCGAATGCTTATTGAGCATGTTTCTACTTTATTTATATGTTACTAATTTCAAATATTGTCCTTTTCATTAATATTACTTGTAATTGTAAGTTACGTTTGACAGACATCAACAAAAACTAATCGTTTGTCGTAAAGGTGACAATTTTAACCCATTACCCATTAATTTGTCAAATCCGTCCATAAATCAACCTATATTAATTAATATGAGTTCTAAATGGGTTAGGTAATATCATTCATTTTAATTAAGCGGTTAATATGGATTACAAATGGGTACTCATTGGGTTGAATATTTATCTTTTTATTAAATAATACAAGTAATAAAATTAAATATAGTTTTTGTGTTAGT